TCTGGTATTGGTGTATTAGGGGCATCATTTGCTTCAGTGACGCCTCTTAAAAGCTTTGATGTGAAGTTGCCGCTTAAGATCTCACACTGGATTTGCTATAATGAACTCCGGTCTAGAGTGGAGGGAGGTGCACCTTGTCTCAATTACCCATAGACCGCACCTCATCTCTGAGGAAGCCAAGAAGTGGAGAGACAAATCCCAATGGCTTTGTCAAAAGGTGGGCATGATGACTCAGTGAGGTTGCATGATGTTCATAAGAAACCTAAATTAAATCATCATGCACTGTGTAACTCATGGGTTGGCATGAGTTTGATGCCAGAAGAGCCTTTGAAGCAAGCAGCCATTGGATTATATAATATGCATATCAAAATTCAATTACAGCACCTTAAAGTGCTACAAGATCTACAAGCTGAAGCTACGAGCTGGAAAGTAAGTACTTATCCCTTTTAGACAATTCCCATTAATGCTTTAAAAAAACATGTTCTGAGTATTAAACTTCCGGAATAATTTACTCACCCTCCTGTTGTTCCAAACCTGCATATATGTCAGCAATGGGGACCATTAACTATTTGATTACCAGCATTCTTCAAAATGTCTTCTTTTTTGTTCAACATAAGAAAGAAATTCATACAGGTTCGGAACGACATAAGGGCGAGTAAATGGTGACAATTTTCATTTCTGGGTGAACTACTGCTTTAATTCCTTACTAAAGTCAAGTTATTCCTTACCTCTGCATCAGAAGCAATGTGCATGTGCATTTTAATGTTTAATCCCATATTACATGCACAAAATCGGCTGATAGCTTTTTAAACGTCACAATGTCTTGCTTTAAGATCAACAAAACATCTCATATGGGCTGAGGAGCTTCTACATATAGTAAGACATTGTCACACAGCATGCCTCACACAGAATGCATGCAGCTGCCACATTCTTGACAGGACATGGTGACAGGATGAGGAAGAGGGAGAAGGGAAAGGGAGTGTTACATAATGAAATAGTGAGTTTACATGGGAAGTACTTTTGGAGAATGTGTGTGTATTTGTCCTGATGTAATTTGATCCTATAATAATGCAGTACTCCTTAGTGAAAAACAAATGAGTCCACACTGATGCACCTCTTGGATGAAACCAAGACCCCTACAGCTACAGTACATTTTCACTGGCTTGGTGGGATATTGCATCAGGATGTACTGTACAACATGTTTCAAGGTTAAATATGTTACTCTGACTCTCCCCTTTGGTGAGTTCTTTGGTAAGAAACATTCACCTCATCATTATCTTTCTCCGAAATGTTTTCACCAAAGGAAAAAACAAAGCCCAAGGGGCATCAATCAGATGTGGCAGGCTTGCTGGCATAATCTAATCACGGAATGGGACAATGGTAGCCAATATAAACAATAAGCCAAGCAGCTGTGGGCAGCCAGACAATGAGCGCAACTGGGAAGCCAATGGCTGAGGTAAGGGTGGAGTTAGCAATCACATCTGATGAGCCAGACAGATAGCTCAAGGGCGAAGGAGCAAGCGAGAGAGAGCAAGAAAGCAAGTGAGAGAGAGAGACTTTGGTAGAGAAATATACACTGGTCAAAGTTCCGTATCGCATGTATCTTTTCCATGGTGTGACCGTCTTCAACATGCACAGGCACACAACAGAACACTGACGGAGGATAAAGAATAGTTTTTGATTTACATTCAGCTGTGTAATCAAAAAGAATTAAGGGCACTGGGAAAATAAATAAATAAATAAATAAAATCAGTATTTTCTCTTGGTTTACAGCAAAAAAAAAACTAAACTAACAAGATAAATTCTCCAAGAAATCAATATTATTATATTATATTATATTATATTATATGAGTTTAATAATATAATGTGCTGTTTTGTTTTAAGCATACATCTAACAATATTTAGTAAGGTTCAAGCTTAAAACAAGAAAAATATTTATATTATTTAATTAATATCTAACATAATATTTAAAATATATATAATATATTGTATATGCATTATATATATATTTAAAAAGCTAAACAAATTATATATAATTTTTGCAGCATGTTTTCTGAGAACAACTTATACATAAATGTTCACCTACAAATATTTATATATTTTTACTGTTTAAAAATATAGACAAAACTGTCAAAAACCTGAAGTGATTGCAGTACTTTATATAATAAGAGTGGACTGCTGGGTGCCTCAAAGTCACTGCTTTACGGACCAAAATTCTCTGTGGCCCAATTAGAGCAGGTCTCGGTCATCTCTTTTTTCAGTCTCAAGGCGTCTCTCCCCCTCAAAGATTTAGTCAAATCTCTCCCTGTTCTTAGCCACCAGTGAGAACTAGAGCTTTCTAAAGGGGACATTCATGACTGCTGATGACACAAAGCACAACGCAGTATTGCAGCTAGATATGATATTATTGAGTAACATGCTGGAGCAATGTCTCAGTTTGGTGTTAAAACACAAGTTAACAAGCTAAACAAATACTGTGGACAAAAACATTACAGAGAATCACAACAGGGAGATATCATAAATGCTGGACAATTCAAACAACATTTACAATACCTCCCTTTCAAATAAACATGAGCTCCCTGTAATATTTATGGTGATGTTCTGTAAATTTGCCATATAAATGAGGCCCAATTAAACATTACGAGAGGAAGATTTGGGTCTCCAGCAGGCCCAGTAAAATCTAACATTCCCTTTATAAGCTCTCAATAGGTGCATCTGGCTCTTACTGTCCAGTGTGAACTCTAGCACAAACTCGCTGCTGTCAACGGAGAAGTTGTGCTTCCAGCTGACGTTAGCATAGTCATTGTTAGCATCCACGGTCAGATTCCAGATCTTTACATTCGGGGCTATGCAGAACAGGTGGGAGAGGAGTACACTTAAATATTTTCTGATACAAACACCGGCACATATGCTTAAACTTAAAGACCCCATGAAACCTAAATTTGACTTGTTTCTTTTAGATAATATAGATTTCTTAGCTTTGAGGTCATCTATATGCTAGTTGACAAATTAATATACGATCCTCTGGGGAAAATGGACCAAACATATATCATCCTGAGCTTCGGGGCACATTTAAAAAATTTGTCGAATAAAATGCTCTCTAGAATGAAAATATTCCCTTAATAGTCACATTAACGAAACTTCCTGTCCATTATCATTAATGTAGTGATGCATAAAGCACCACTTCAGTATAGCTCAATATACCTCAAGCAAAATCGAAGAATGAACTGGTGTGACGTCTATTCAAACTAAATCTGGTCAAAATGAAGTTTGTTTGGAATTTGTTTCGGTAGTTCAAAACAACTCAAAAAGTTCACCAAAGTGAACTTTCTGGAAAAGTTCGCACCGACTGGTAAATACTTTTATAAATACTGTTACGTTATTGAGATTATTGCACGCAGCATATATTTGAATATTCATCTAAACACCACTTTCAGCAGCATGGGTAGTGTCGATGTATGAAAACAGTATATTGTTG